AACATCCTCCACAACTAGACTGAAGAAAAAAAGGACAGCAACTTGTCTGTTCCACTTCCTCCAATTCCCTAGGGCTGTTCCCATCCCCCAATTCCCCAATAAAAATCTTAAAAAAAAAAAAAGAAAAAGAAAAAGAAAACTATAAATAAGCTCTTTAAAGTTAATGACTTTAAAAATATAAGTATTTTTACTTTTTTGTCTCTGGGTTTTCCAGGTCAAGGTGGAAGTAAAAAAAATAAAAATAAAGACCATTAATTAAGCTTGAAGCCTTTTTGTTGTTGTGCCAAATAATATAACATGTCAGTTTAAAAATGTCTGATTTCCAGTAATACTGAATCACTACAAACATCATCAAAAAATCTTAAAGGCATGTTAATAATAATAATTTTAATGAATTTGCAAAGGAAGGTATAATGTTTCCTTTCATTCCTTCAGTCTACAGGCACATAATAACATTTAAAAAATTAGATCCCTGGTAAATAACAAGGCATATTGACTAAGCGGTTAAATAAGAAAGCACATGGATGGAAGTGACTGCTCCCTGAGGAATGCACGCTCTGGCCTCTCGGTGTCAGCGGGCTCTGTCAGCAGGTCCGAATGAGTTTACACTGAGTAATTGGGCAGAAAACCTGCTGTCACACTTTGCTATATTTACTTTTCAAATTTATGTTTTCTCTGAGCAGGTGATAAGAGGCCAAAGGCAAGTCAGAAACGATATAGATTCACCTTCCTCAGCCTCAACCTTTGAAGTATCTTGTGATGTCAAAGGGATTCACAGGGCAGAACTAGGGTGGGATATTTTCTAAGAAATGAGCAACGGACAAAGGCTCCAGTGTATAGTTGACAATGACATCCTTTTAATTACCTGTTATGATGTGCTGGAAGATCACTGTTGGTTTTAGTCTAACATATTGTTTACACGTAATTTTGGCCTTGAACTCATGGTGCGTAATTTAAGAGGAGTCTGTTTTGGAGTTTGAATCCCACTATGGTGAAGTATACAGAAAGGAGAAGTATGTGGGTAGTGGGTAGAGAAACGGAGCGAGGAAAAGGAGTTCATAAATCAAAACCTTGCCTAGTTTTAGGAACACTTCTTGCATGAGGATCAAAGACAGTGGGGAGGTGCTCCTTAGAGGTTCTGGCTCTCATGGGTGGCATCAGCACTGACCACTGTGGTGGTGGGACAGGGGGCTACTGAAAGAAGGGTTCTCAGCACGCCTCCTACCCTCCATGCTGGTCCTGACAGGGTCCTTTAACGTGTCAGCACCCACTGCATTCATCCCCTTCTTCCCTCCCTCCCTTCCTCTGCCTTTCCCTCTGTCTCTCTCTTCTGTCCTGTTTTCCTGCCTTCCCTCCTTCCTATCTTCCTGTCTGTCTGCCTGCCTTTCGGTTTCTTTTCTTTCTTCTTTCATGGATTTCTAGCCCCATCCCTATCTTCATCCCTTCCTCCCTTTCTCTTTTCCTCCCTTCCTCTCTCCCTTCCTCCCTACTTCCCTTCCTTCCCTTCCTCTTTCCCTCCCTCCCTCCATCCCTCCATCCTTCCCTTCCTTCTTTCCTTCCTTCTAGAAATTCCCCAAGGGGTTAAAACTACTAATAACAAGTATGAAGCCTATTGTACTAAAGCCTTACCTTTCAGTTGCTTACCTTTCAGCAGGGAGTGGAAGGAACAAGGGTTGGACTTTATGTTTTCAGAATTTTCAAAAATTTTACAACCGATAGAATTTATAATCTTATGAACTACATTGATTATGGTTTTCCTAGGCACTACCTAATTTCCTGGTAGTAACTCTAGTTCTTTGGGAGAAGTGTTAATGTTTGCTGCTACAGTGAACTCACTTATGACTTAGGAAAGTGGATCAGCCTTTTTAGGCCAAGAAGGCCTTCACTTATAGATGGCGTTTTTTAGGAGAATTAGAAATACCTAAAATAATTAACACTACAATATGCTATAAACTTTAAAAAATGCCCACTGCCTTTCTGACTGTATTATTTTCACAGTGTCACACACACAAAAAACACTTCTTGTAAGTCTTTCTCTGTCAAATTAAATAGGAGACTTACCTGTTGACGCTTTGAAGGCATGGAAGATTTTTACATTCATAGTAAAGACATAAAGTTTTAACTCATTAAAAAGGAAAGACCAACTTAATACTAAAATTCAAGGGACATGCTTATTTTAGGAATCTACTTTTCGATTTATTGTTTAAAATATGCATTTCTTTTTTTCTTACCGAAATAGAAATTTAACACCGTTTCAAAACTGGACAGTGGAGAATATTCCTGCGAAGCCCGTAATTCTGTTGGACATCGCAGGTGTCCTGGGAAACGAATGCAAGTAGGTAAGCATGAACTGTTGGGAGGAACAAATGGTTTGCAATCAGATAGTGCAAGTATTTAGGGCTGGAAGGAGCAAGGGGTAGGGAAAGTCTGAGTGATTAGAAGGATAAAATGGAGGGAATGTTTAAGACTAGCTTGATATAATGTGTTACAAAGAGCAAATGTTGTTTTTAATCTATCTCCCAAACAAGCCAAGAATATTCTGCATTGTACTTTACAAATTGTTGAATTTTTCAAATAATTGTTTTGAAATGATGCTCGGCTGAGCAATCTTCTTTCAAACAAAAGCTCACCGTCTTGTAAATTACTCAGGGTCAAGAGCTCAGTTTGGAGGTTTGCATTCCAGCTCTGCCACTTACTAGCTACATACTCTTGGGCAAATTATTTAACGTCTGTGCCTCATTCTCCCCAAAACGGAAGTAGTAATATACCACCCTATAGGGTTGTTATGAGGATGAAAATAATATCTGAAAGTGTTAGAATAGCACTGGCATGCTGTGAGCACTACGGAAGTGTTGACTATTTTACTTATTATCAGGTTATTGTTAATTTTGTTGATGTCCTAAAATGCTATGCTTAGACTTATTGCAGAGTAGGCTCTCAAAAAAGACATGTTGAATATAGTTATGGTTCTAGGTTGCTGTAAATGGTAGCTGCCATATATTACACAAAATAAGCTTCTTCGACTCCAATAAAGTCAGTGCTCAAGAGTCTTTTCAGATTATGCAAGTTCAGAGCAAACATTATTTTCTTCATTTTATTTTTAATAATTTGGTTTAATTCTTCCTTGCGTGAAAGCGTGTGTTTTGAAAATGGTTATGTAATAGAGGAGGATGAGCTGAGATGGTATCCAGTGGGGTTAAAGGTCACGTAGGAGGGCTGCACCCCCAAGGCGAATACTGAGGGCTCCCCTGAATTCAGGAGCTTCTCCTCAGCTTTGTGGGGTCAGAAACTCATTTTTCCTGTGTGTTTAGAGGAATGGAGACACGTGTGCAGTAATATGTATTGTCTATGTGCAGTTAAACTCTTAGCATTTTTTTAAAGAAAATATAATCTTATTAGACTTCAGGATATTCTAAAGAATAAAATATTCAATAGTATATTCTAATTTCCACAAGTAAGTTTGAATTTCTGGTCTTTTTTAAGTTCAGAGATACATATCACCCACCAAATTCATTCAAGTGTTGACATTTATAGTCAAACATAAGCATTTGCTTAAATCATCAGAAACTATCTCTCAATGCTGCTTTGGAGTCATTATTGGAAAAATTCATTAGAGCCTGTTTAAAAATTAATGCATTCATCCAGTGTTTTCCTCACTTCATTCATTCACATACCATCCTCATGGTTTTGACCATAACCTGGTACTCCCTACATTATGACTATTTATTTTTTCTCTAAAGGGTCGTGTTTAATTTTAAGGCCTAGTTTCGCCTCATCTTAAGAAATAATAGCTGTGATATCATGGTTTTGATCTCCTGCCTACATTCATTTTTCCTAGCGTACGATAAATAAATAGATACCAAGTAAAATTTATGGTTTCTATTTTGCTGACAGTCCTACTTTAATTTGAATATGATTTCTACATATCTACTCTTTCTGTGTATAAGTTAGCTTAAAAGTTAAAATTAATTTGTTTAATGCTCATCATTGATCCTAGGTGTTTCACACCCTTGGAATTTACATCTTTTGAAATACATAAGAATTCATGAACTCTCACATTCAGTTTTCTTTGTGAATTATCACTAATAACTTGTAACCAAAAGCAGAATCTGTTAACCGTCCCCAAAAAGTTCTTTTTGACGTATAGAAAGGAAGTAAATCATGGGTTTGTTAATGACCACAAGAAGACCCCACTCACACATGGTATTTTAGCAGTTCGGTTCCTTTTCCTTTGGCTACAATAAGAATGCTTTTTTTTAAATAGTGGCTTTTCTTTTCTTGTAAAGAAAGAACGCAAAATGTTTTCATACATGTTGTAACATTTTCTCTTGAGTGAGGTGTAAGATGGTTATGTGACTTGGGCAATAGCTCACAGTAAATGGAAAATGGGATGAAACACCTTACCTCTAACTTACAGGTCTGCTAGCTTTCATTTCACTGAAGAAAATAAAATTGTTATCATGACTTAACACTTACAGGGCAAGACAGTTTTGTTTTTGTTTTTTTCTGTCAGAAGTTGCCTTTAGGTTGAACCCTTCATAAATGTCAAATTCATTGACTACTACAAAGAAAATAGCAGGCACAGTTCGGTTCTCAGGAGTTTCATTTAGCTACTAATTTAATTTGCCTTAGATAGTGATTATTGTGGATTTTTTCCCCCTCTATGCTATTTTTTATCCAAGGAAATAAAAAGCTGATCTCATTGACCCCCCAATGCTCAAGCAATTATGAACTGAGTTTATATTAAGCAACAGTTAATGTTTTTTCCTCTGGTCAAATTACTAAGCCTTTCAAAAGATCTGCCATGGTTCCTGAAAAAAAAAATCAGTTAATATTTCAGTGGTATCTGAGAAAATTAATAACACACTTGGATTAGGAAAAAAATTTGCAGACCAGACATGTTTATGAAAGGCAGACTCAAATAATATTAAAAATATATATTTCCCAAAATAGGCAGTGCTTTAAAATATCTAAAACTACTGTTGAGGAAAATGATACCTGATATTTTCTCCAAATTATTTAGTAAGATGCTAATTAATACTTGCTTTAAAAATTGAGACCCCTTTGAGGAAATGCTCTTTTAAAAAGCACTAACGTACATGTTAATCACTGCATAGGAAGTATCTAAATGATGGAAGAGTGTGGCTCACGAAATCCTTGTGGAGAAGATGGAGAAATGTGACCCAAATTAAATATGTACGTGGATTCACATGTAGTGGGATCTCACATCCAGAGCATGCTAATAAATTGCATTGTATGAAGGAAGGTCATATATATATTTAATAACCTGTTACCTCGTTCTTTCCTAACAAAGTCATATTCATAATTTTATTCAGGACTTGAATGAGAGTATTTTTGATGCAGTTCCCAATTGCAGAAATATTCACCTTGGAAGATTAATAACCTAACTCTTGGGCAACAATCAGTCTCTATAAAAACTTCACAAGAATGTAGTGATTTCAAACTTGGGCCCAAAAAATCCATTTTGATTAGGTTAGAGGAGAGACTACTTAATAACAACAGGAAAAAGCTTTCGGTGATTTAATTCATCTATAATTTAATAGAATGACAGTTTAATGACATATATGTAGTGGGATATATGTAGACCCACACACGAAGCCATATAAATTCAAGGAGATGTTTCTGACAGCTTTGTAGAATAGTGGCATGGGCTTTCTTTGGGGCCGAATGAGTTTTCCATGATTTGTGAAATTGACACAGATGATGATATAGAAGAATTTTAAATAAAATTTAGGAGGGTAGTAGTAGAACACTTGAACTCACTGAACTTCAAAAATCACTTCCTATCTGATATTTAATCCAATGAATAATTACATCTCCAAATGAATGCAAGAGAATGCCATACATTTTGTTTCTGAACCATACAGTGTTTTAAAATTTAAGAGTCTTGCAAAACTTAGTTCTGTTAATATTTTCAATCAACTATGACCCATGTTCTGAAAGTGAGTTAGTTGAACAAGCTTCAAAAGCATGAAGCTATCCGTCTTTATTGCATAGCTACAAACTGGAGCCTTGTTGAGCTTTTTCCGTTTAATACTACATCTGTCCATCTATTTGACATGAATTCACACGTGGTGTATTTTGAATTCTAGATGATCTCAACATAAGTGGCATCATAGCAGCTGTGGTAATCGTGGCCTTAGTCATCTCCATTTGTGGCTTTGGTGTGTGCTATGCTCAAAAGAAAGGCTACTTTTCAAGTAAGTGAATTTCACCTTTCTTTGCTAGACAACTTCCTGTGGATATAGAGTTTTCTTAATGAGATACCGTTTCTCTTTTAAGAAGTTCTAGCAAACTCTGGAGACTATTTTTCATTGCTTTTTCTGCAGTAGAAAATAGCCAAGATGACATGCAGGTGAGTCATGAAGCAAACGGGGAGGAAAAGCAGAGCTTCCTCAGCCCAGTATCCCAGGTGACGCCACAGAATATGCAAGAGGAACTCTGGAATGACATAGGGCAGTAATACTGAGATAGTCCATACGTTAATAGATGGATATTTATCGTCCAAGTACATGTATTTAAGATCCTTTTAAGTTAGGAATTGTATACTCAAGTGGTAAACTGATTTCTAGTTTTATGATAAGAAAATTTTATTGAAATAAATCTGTGAAATGTTTTAATATTGAATGTCAAATTTAGCACAACTGTATTTAGAAGAGAATTGTTCAATACAAACTAGATACTTACTATATTAGAGTTCCTTCTGAACAATATTTTTAGATCTTTAGGTAAAGACCTCTTGGCACTCCAATCCTGCTTGGTGATGGGCTTGATGTAAATGAGCGAGATTTAAAAATAATCTGTTTTATTGTCTTAATGTATGTCTTTTCTCCCAGTCTTTAAAATTATCTGAGAGCTCAAAAGCTGCAGAACTCCATCAAGTCCATTGGCAATAATGTATGGAGTTATTTGTAAATGGGATAATAAATTTATGACATGAACAAGTTTTGGACCTACTATTTTACAGTGAACATTGATTTTGGAATTTAGGTTTAAAATTTTTTTATACCAAATAAAACTTAAATTTAAAACGGGTTTCTAAATACCTATAATTAGGTATTAAATCTCATAAAATGTTTCCATGAACATGGTTTTAGGGATATTCCCTATAATTAAGAATAATGGCTCTGTGAATGCATAATTGTTCTTTTGTATAGCACTCCAATCTAGTCCAGGGTAATTTTATGAATGGAATCTGGATGTGTCCCCCTGCTGGTCACACGTGAAAGTACCAGAGAGATAAGATGGCTCACTCAAAGTTCTTGTCATCTGTATCTTGACTTGCAAAGAATATCTGAGCATTTATATTGAAGACTTGGTAAACAAATTTTTCTTAAAATACTGAATTAAAGATTTGACTTGGGGACTAGTATTTCATTAGCCAAGAATGTTACTCCCGTTTTCATCTGGCAGAAAATCTATCCAAGAGAACGTTTTTTTGAACTTGCGTTTTGGACAGAGGTTAGCATACGACAACTCGTGGACCACGTCCCGCCTGCCACCTCTTTTTTATGGCCCATGAGCTAAGAATGATTTTTACAGATGAACATTTGCAATCCGTTTGATAACAGGGAATACAAACTTTGAACCCCGATTAACAGAAATGTTATCCCCCACAAACAATTCCATTCTAATTAGTAGACCTGTACTTTGATTATTATTATATTTTGAATTTTATCAATAAACATTTTGGAAGTTTATTTTCTCTTTTATTGTATGATAACTTACATAATATCCTCAATTTTATTTCTTGGCCCACAAAGCCTAAAATATTTGCCATGTGACCCTATACAGAAAAAAATTTGTCAACCCTTGATTTAGAAGGTACAAATGTTGGCTAGTGAGAACAAGATTGAGAAAACAAAATTAAGCTTAAACTCATTTTTGTATGAATCTCTATCATACCATATTAACTCTTGTACTAATGATATATACTTATTTTTTTGTAGAAGAAGCGTCCTTCCAGTAAGTATGCTTTCTTAAAATGCATGCCTTTATTCCCTAGCAACTAATTTTCTGTTACTCATCTGTGTAAAGTCCAAAGTGGGAGGGCCAGCTGAATGGCTCAGTTGGTTAAGAGCTCACTCAAGAGTTTGAGCTCTGAACAACAGCGGTTTGATTCCCGGCCCGAGCTGAGCAGCCACTGAGCTGCCAACAGGTGGCAGGATGGCTCAGCTTAAAAAAAAAAAAAAAACAAAGTGGGAAGCTGCGTTATTTGTGAAGGTTTTTAATCCTATGGAAGGTGACTCAAGTTCATCAACAAGTACATCCCACCTCATGCCTGCCTACTTGTCAATGCTGTTTAATTACCTGGAGGAGAAATACAGTCATTAATTTGATCCTAGGCATTTCCACAGTACTACTTAAAAAAAAATATTTACTGTAACTTGCTCAATTGAAAATTTTCAAATAAAATTTTCCTTAACAGTGATTTTTACATTTAATTAAATACCGATTCTGTGCCCAACACTGTCCTAGGGACTGGCGATACAGCAGGAAACAAAACAGGTCGAAAACCCTTCTGCTTTATGGAGCTTACATTCTAGTAGAGAAAGACGGGAAGGTAAACAAATGTGTAAGCTCCACAGGGTGTCAGATTGTGAGAAGCATCATGGAGAAGAAGAAAGCAGGTTAGAGAAGAGAGAATGCCTGGGGGAGGAGTGGGGGTTGTCCTTGTGAATGGCGTGCCTAGGAAGGGCCTCACTGAGGAGGTGATGTTTGAGAAGGAGCCGAGGGAGCAAGTCACGCAGAAGTCCATGAGAAGAGCATTCAAGCTGAGGGGAGAGAGAAACTGGGAAGACCTCAAGGCCAGGCATGTCTGGAGTATCTGAGCAGCGTCAAGGGGACCAGTGAGGCTGGGACAGTGACACAACAGAAGAGGAGATGAGTGCACAGAAGCCGCAGGGGCCAGATTATACGGAGCCCTTTCTAGGCAGCTGTGAGGAGTTTGGCTTTGGTTCTGAGTAAGAGGGGAAGTCATTGGAGGGTTTTGAGCTGAGGAGTGGCTCATCTCACTTAATTCTAGAAGCTCAGACTGGCTGCTCTGTTGAGAATAAACTGTAAGGTGACAAAGCGTAGAGAAAGCAGGGAAACCAGTGAGGAGACCAGTCAATAATCTAAGACGAGAAAAACAGCAGCTGGTTCCAAAGCGGTGCTATTGGAGATGCTCAGTAATAGGATTCCGGGTATGTTTTTAACAACTTGCTGATTGACTGAAAAAGAGAGAAATCAAGGATCGCTCCAAAGCCATGAGAAGGATTTACCTTTTACTAAGTGCACAAGATTTGAGGAGAAGCAAGTTTGAGAGTGGTGGTGGGGATAGGTGGAGAGGTCTGGAGTGTTTGGGAATTTTAATATCTGAATCGCCTATCGTACTTCCAAGTACGTAGAGATAATCAGTAAGCAACTGAATATATGAATCTGGAGTAAGGATTTGGGAGTCATTGATGCATGAGATCTAGATGAGATCACCAAAGTCCCCAGGTTATGTGCACTCGATTTGTGACTGTCCTTGTATGTATGGAATTGGCAGACCCCACTGAGTTTGTGGGCACTCCTTTCTATTCTCAGCTGCTATGGCTTCAGATACTTTGTCTTCTCCCAAGTCCTTTGAAGACTTAGCTGCCATTGGTTTCCTGTCCCCAGACTTGCTGCTCAATGCTGGTCTGTGAGCTTCCTGATATCTCAGTACAAGTCTAGGATGATCCAAGTTATCAGGACTAGCAGTAGCCAAGAGGGTGAGGTCAGAAAAGCAGGGTAGCCTGATGGTATAGCCTCCACCCCCTTCCTGCCCCAGGCTATTGTGAGGATTCCCACTTTAAGATGGAACGTATTGGGTTGTCGGAAAAGTCATGACGCATTTTTGCAACGAAAACCAGAAAAAATACGTCATGACTTTTCTGACAGCCCAATAATTGGAGAGTTTTGAGCACAGGAGAGGCATCATCTCATATATGGGAAAAGGCTGGCATTGCTGTGGTGAGGGTGGCCCTTATTCCCTTCATTCACAGTGTCTCTGTGAACCCAGGCAGCAATCTGGGGGGGGGGCAGTATCTTTATTCCTGCACACATCTCCCATTTATCAAACCCATGGCCCTCAAAATATGTTGGACAATGAATTGGGTGTTGTATCAGTTTGCTAGGCTGCCATCACAAAGTGCCATAGACCAGGTGGCTTAAGAAACAGAAGTTTATTTTCTGAGTTCTAGAGGCTAGAAGTCCAGGGTCAAGCTGTCGGCAGTAATGGTTCCTTTTGAGGGGTATGAGGAAAATATCTGTCCAGACCTCTTTCCTTGGCTGATAGATGGTCTTCTTGCTGTCTGCATTTCTTCTTCCCTCTTGTCCGTGTTTGTGTCTCAATTTCTTCTTAGAAGCACACCAGTCGTATTGGATTACATCCACCCTAATGACCTCATTTTAATTTAATTACCTCTTTAAAGATCCTGTCTCCAAATACAGTCATATTCTGAGGTACTGGGGGTTGGAACTTCAACATTTGAATTTGGGGGAAGGGGAGGACACAATTCAGCCCATAACAGATGACCAGAACCTTAGTCACCACATAAAACTTTTTTCCCATGGAAAAAGTGAAATTTGAGATTATAATTGCAAGCTTTCAAAATGTTAAATGTTACTAAATTGATAAATTAAAAGTTCGTACATCTGTTTTGCATATTTGACAAAAATCTAATATGCTAGCCCTAGGCTACAATCAGATACACAGGACTTCATGTGCACTGGTATTTCGTTGAATGGCTTTCTCAGTGAACATTGTCTGTAAATATAAGACATTCAGTTAGGATTGCTGGCTTTTTTATACCTGGCTGAGATAAATGTTCATCTTCCTGCTGAGAAAATTTATGGAGGGAACATTGGGTAAAGGAGTATTTGTATTTCAGAATTGGAAGTGATAATGTAGTAAATATTGTCTTTTATATTCCACAAACAGGAAGAGTAGTTCTGCATCTAAAGATACTACGAGTGAAAATGTGAGTATTTTTAAAGCATGTTTATAGAATGGATGTGTTTAGGAAATAGGGCAAGGAAATGAAGTAACTGTGTGGAAGTGATGGATTTTCACTTTTAATATACTTTGTACTATAGTGTCTACCGCCTGTCTTTAGACGGAGCTAAATACATGTTATCTTCCCTCCGCTGTCTGGGATGGCATGATGCAGTTGGCTGCATTTGTAGAGAAAGGAGGCTTGACCATACGATTATTTTTTCTCATATTTTCTATGATTAGTCAGCCTCTTAGTGTCATTAGGCCCAGCATTATCAGCTCCATCTTATAGATGAGGACATTAAGACACAAGCTCTCACGGGGTTACAGAGGTCAAGCCGGGAGCCAGGGACCTTGACTTTTGTCAGCTTGCCCAAGCAGATCGCTTCCACAGGTCTGTGGTTCCAGGACCATCCTTTGGTTATTCAGAGCACTTAGAAATTTTCGGGATGTGGAATATCATCTACTATTGGTGAAGGAGGGTCTCAGAAATCCTTGAACGGATACAACTATTTATCTAACTCAGACGGTTAAGGGAACCTAATTTAGACCTTTGGACCGTGGTGTACTTTTGCATTCGTAAACACTACAGTGAAGCAATAAATACCATCACTGCTCAGGTTGTGTAGCTTTTTGGATGAACAGTCAACCTCATAGATTATTTTTCTGGACTACAGTGTGTGTGGAGGTAGTGAGGTGTCCCATGGGAGCCTGAGCCCTTTCTTGAGAAATGAAACACTGGCTCCCTGAATTCCTTGTGCTGTATGGCAGGATTCTCATAGGTTCCCTTTTACTAGAGTGGGGTGGGGGCATGGACCTCAGTATTTTAAACACTTAGGTAATTCTTATGGACATTAATATTGAAGACCCATGTACTGCTCCATTGAGCTTTTTCTGTCAAATCCCTTTTTAATTGTCTACTCTAGAATCTGTCATAGAAGTCACTTTATTTTGTAGTTTACTATGCTGAAAACATATTATTCTTTCATCAGCAGGCAAGCAATATGTAACTCTATATCTGTTCCAACAATTTGTGGAAAATACTCCTTGAATGTGGAATAAAATAATCTCATCCCACCAAACAGCAAGAGACACTTTGTGGCTGAGGTGGAAGAAAAAAAGCCTTTTACTTTTTCTTTATCTGCCTCTCAGTTGCTCTCATCAGCTGAGAACTAACGTCTCCAATTCTAGTTTTGCCCTGGAACAGGGTTTTTTAACCTTGGCACTACTGGCATTTTCTTATATTTCTTATATAAGAATTTGTGTAAGAAATGACTATCATTCTTATATAACGAATTCTTATAATTTCACATAATTCTTCATTGTGGGGGGCTGTCCTGAGCAATGGAGAATGCTTACCAGCACCCCTGACCTCTACCTACTACTAGGGCCAGTAGCATGTTCCTGGCAGACAAGATTTCTCTGGCTCTAATTCCCACTCCTATTTCTTTACTCTTTAGGCCAAGTTTCAAAGGCTGTGTCTCCTGGTATTTAATTACTTAATTCCCCATAAAACAGATTTAATTAAATATATGCTGGTTTGTACCTGTTAAGATTCTTATAGTGGATGTAGCTTTATACTCACAGGATTTATATTTCTTTAATTATGAATTAATACATTATATTTAAACTTGGTATTTCTTTCTTTCTCTAGGATTTCAAGCACACAAAATCCTTTATAATTTAAAAGAATTCCACCTTTGAGATACACCAAAACCAGTGGTTACACGAGTTATTAAAAGATTATAAAACTCTGCTTTGTCTTACATTTGCAAAGAGGTACACGTAAAGATGAAGTTGGTATTTCATTATACTTTTTATGACCGCTCAATCACTTGACGTTATTTTAAACAAATAGTTCTTTCAGCACCTAAAATGCAGTCTGGCTTCCTGTGTCTGGGCTAAGTTAAAAGAAACAAAATACTTTGTAATACTCTGGGGTTTGTGAAATGTTAAATGTCCTAACTTCTGGAGAAAAGTAACTGCGGTATGTCTTATATTGATTGATTATATTAATCCACGTAGCATGCAAATATAAAGTGCATGCCCCCTCTGTGCAGAAGTCTGGTTTAGAACGCTCAGAAAATACTGGCAGATGCAAAAGGAGGCTCTGATCTCATTTCCACCCCAATCCTCTTTTCTCCCCTAATATAATCCTTCTTCTGCTGCTCATTTATCACTAATGTATCCACAGAAGGGACGTGGTGGGAGTGGGTCTTAAACCCAAGGATTTTCACTTTGTCTACCTTCATTTCTAAGAACCAAAAGCAACATGGAGAAAAATACCTAATGACCAGAGCTCACTCACCTGGTGTGTGCCATTGATTTCTTCATTAAACGTAATTTTGAGAGTCAAACCCAAGTGTCTTATTTCACCCCCATAGCTGCCTGTTGCTATTTCCTTCCCCTAAGACCTCTTTGAAGAGGATCAGTGACCTTGACATGAGTATTTGCCACTGCAGCTTATCCACAGAACCCTGCAGAGACCTCCCCTTCAGCATGGTGACTTCACATCTGTCTAGAAACCGTGCAGGGACACTCTAGGCTGGGCCAAGTCCCCTGCTCTTAGTTACCGTCAGTGGATTGCCAATCCTGTTTATCACAAAGCCGGGAGTACAGAGGGGAGAAGTGATTGTCTGACAAGTAAAACGAGTTGAGAGCTCACTGGGGCTCCCTGCACTTGGCGACCCTCTCACAACATAGAGGGCACAGGAGAAACAGTGGCTGACATGAAAAACGGGGTGGAGCATCTGGTTTCTCAGCTGATTCCAAGGCCTCCAGCTAGTGTTACAAAGTGAAAATTCCAACAATCCATTTAATAGTAAGAGCAGTCAGACCATGTGAAAAGCAAAATTATTTATAACTTGTTTTGATTATTCATATTAAAAACAAAATATGGCTAGGGCATTTCCATTTCTGGGCAAATCTGATGAAAAGGTCACTCGCTACCTTTGACAGCTTTGAACATGGTTAAGCTGCTTTTAAAGGAGTCCATTCTTTTTGCCCAACAGGCAAAGCAAATCCTTGGGATTCAGTGGACAAACAAATGCATTAGGCACTCACCCAGTACCTTGCATGTGCCTGGTCACCGGGTCACTGGAAAGACACCTGTTGTCAGACTGTCCCCTCACGCTTGCCGGTCGCATTCAATACTTCTTACCAGTACCATGCAAACCTTTTCTGTAAAGGCCCAGATAGTAGGTATTTTAAGCCATACAGGCCACATGGCCCGTTATAACTATTCAACTCTGCCGTTGTAGCACCAAAGCAGCCATAGACAATAATAAATGGTCATGTTTGTGTTCCAATAAAACTTTATTTACAAAAAACAGGAAGCACAGACAGAATCTGGCCCACAGGCATAGTTTCCCAACTCCTGGTGGTGAAGCATGAAAAAATACCGATCTATAAGCTTTTGTAAGAAACTAGGCTAAAGGTTGCCCGTGCTTGGATTTGCCTTGGTTTGAGGAACGCTTTCCTCCTCTTGCATTGCTAAGTGCCAAGGGGATGTGTGAGTCTCAAAGATCTCTTCAGGCATACCTACCAGCACACAAGATCAACTTCAATTTAAATGTCAAATCCATTTTGTGAGGGAAGAATATGTAGGTACCTCAGCTTTCCTAACAGATGGAAGCTTCTTCACCATACAGGCTGGAGGAGTCACCGTATGCAGTGTTAAAGTCTAACACTCCATGTCAAATAATAGCATACGTTATCTTAACATACTGTACACAGCTAAATAAAAATCACTGTGTGAAGAATGCTTTCTCCCACACAAAGGCTACAGTATTGAGCGCTCACTTTCCAGTTATTAAGTTATTAAAAGTACATCTGCCTGTGTCTGGGCTTGTGTTTCCAATTGCATTTATTTGAGGCCTTCAACAGCAACAATTGGTCAAATCCCATTATTATTCTTAAAGCATTTTATTTTCCTACAGTGAAATTCTATTGTATAAGGATTGGGGCTCCAGAATCTTTAGTAGCAAGTTTTGTTTTAATTATTATTGTTGCTGTTATAATTAGGTTTATTTTTAGTTGGGGGTTTAACCTAACTAAATCTGGAACAATTGGTTGTTTTTCAATACAGCTTTGTAAAAAACTTCATCTCCCACATGGTTTTATTAAAGTTCACATTAATAAAAATAGCTGAACTTGTTAACCTTTTAGCCCTATTTAATAGAGTAAGAGTCATCGACCTATTGTTAATAAAACCCAGGAAACTACACCCTCTTACCATCTGTAGCTACAAGGCTAGCTCTTTAGCGGCTTCAGATTAGAATCTGATCTCTTGGTCTGGATGCCTGCCAACCTCTCAAACTGAAAAACCACAAAACAATTCTGAAAATTAGCCACAACTATTTATTGAACACTTTATATATATATATATATATATATATATATATATATATATATATATATATATATATATATATATATATATATCACAGGTAGGGGTAGATGGGGGACAGGGTGTATAAAATCTCATTCATTCGACGATATTATAAAGTGGGCAGTGTCATAATTCTACAGATGAAGAAACAGGCTGAGGGTCAGAGACTAGTGACTGCCAAGTTCATGGCGCTAAGTGAGGAATCAGGGGATCCACGTGCCCCAGGTCCACCTGATACAGGATGTTTCGCACTAGATGTTTTGTCTCTGCCCCCAACATTCCTTGTAGTAAATTCTCAAATTCTCTGGTACCACACCTTCCCTTCATCAGTAATCTCTGACCCATCCACCCCTTCCTAGTGTCACAGCCTAGAACATTTTTCTGTCTTCCATTTCTCCCCTACCCAGTCTAACTGCCATGGTGGGCCATTTCAGTCTCATCCACTCTCCCCTCACCACAGATGCCCAACTCTAATTTTTTTTTTATATTGAAGCTAACATGATGAACAGATTTAAATTCTGTCACTACCACCCGTCCTATCTCTAAATCTCCCCATCTTTAACCTCTGATTTATTCATTGATTCCATCATTCATTGGCACATTGGATGATTGTCACAACTTTTCTATCTCAGGCTTTTGTTACTATCTCACCTTTTTTTCTGGGACCTTCCTCTCTCAAGTATCCTCTCTCTTAGTCACTATTTCAATCTCTTCCTTTCTAAAAGCTCCTTTGCAGGGTGGCCAGTTAGCTCAGGAAGTTAGAGCACAGGCTCTTAACAAATTGAGGACAGGGCATTTAAATATATAGATGCAAATCTGTGTCACCAGTCCACAATGTTAACACCAAGGTTGCCAGTTCAATTCCCACATAAGCCAGTGAGCTGCACCCTGCACAACTAGGTTGAAGACAACAACTTGACTTGGAGCTCAGCTGCGCCCTCAACTAAAAACAATGACTTCACTTAGAGCTGATGGGTCCTGGAAAAACACACTGTTCCCCAATAAAGTTTAAATAAATAAATAAATAAATAAATAAATAATGCAAGCTCCTTCTCTCTCTGTAATTCCTCCCTTCCCCCCACCCCATCAGTCAGTTACTGCCAGATCACTCTAGAACAATGTCAACTCCTTGTTTCTCCTTCACCCTTACCAAAAACCTTTCACTGTTTTTCTTTACATAGTCTATTACTGAAGTCTAAACTCTTTACTCTTTACCTGGAATTCAAGGCCTCCCAGTCAGTATCTAATAAATGCTGAGTAATTTTTTTTTAAATCAAAAGAGCACTTGTCAAAGGGCAATTTAAAAAATATTAAATTCCTGCATAGATTTAATTAGAATGTTAATATTGTATTCTGATTATAATCCTTCATTTATTATGCAGTTATACAAATTATTGCTTCATGAATTAAGACTGGACAGAAATTATTTTTCTTATCCAACTCCTTTTATTAGGTGTTCATTTCCACAGTTCTTAAAAAGATCTTAAAATATTTTTCTAGTTTTCACGTTTTAAAATTTCGTTTTCCATTCTTTGTTTCTTGTTCTGTAAGTGTTTAGGACACTTTTAGTAGTAACAACTGATCAGGATATTCAAGGTAAACTATAAACTCTTATTTGTTGATGGTTTCTATTTAATCTGTTTATTACTTTACATGCCATATTTTTATTTGACCAAGTTTGAGAAAAATGTACTAAGACATACTAGAGTATAAAATGTCTACTTTCTACTAAGAAAATGCTCTCAAAACAAGTGAATATTTGTGTCAACAAAGGACCTATTTAACTTCTCTAAGACTGACGGCAGACTGTTTTAAACCTACATTTTATGATGCTTTCAGCATTGAATGTGCTTTAAGTGCTTCTTAAAGATGGTGTAAAAACTGAGATTTTTCTATGATCTGTAGTTGGATTAGCATCAGTAAATCAAGAAACTGTTGGCAAGGGTGTAGAAAAAAGGGAACCCTTGTACACTGCTGGTGGGATTGTAAATGGGTGCAGCCACTATGGAAAACAGTATGGGGTTTCCTCAAAAATTTAAAAATAGAACTATTATATGACCCAGCAATTCCACTCCTGGGTGTTTTGCCAAAGGAATCCAAAACACTAATTTGAAAAGATCTATGCTCTATGATCACTGCAGCATTATTTACAATAGCCAAGATATGGAAGCAACCTAAGTGTCCATCTGTAGATGAATGAATAAAGGTGTAGTACATTTATACAATGGAATATTACTCAGCCATGGAAAACAATGAAATCTTACCATTTGCGATATGGATAGACCTAGAGGGTATTATGCTAAGTGAAATAAGTCAGACAAAGACAAATACTATATGATCTCACTTATATGTGGAATCTTAAAAACAAGATAAACAAACACACGAAACAGAAACAAACTCACACAGAGAACAAATTGATGTTCGCCAGATAGAAGGGAGTTGGGATGAGTGAAAACAGTGAAAGAGATTAAAAAGTACAAATTGCTAGTTAAAGTCATGGGGATATAAAGTACAGCATAGGGAATATAGGCAACATTGTAATAACTATGTATGGTGTCAGATGAGTACAAGGTTAATTGGGGTGAACACTTCATAAGGTATATAAACATCTAATCACTATGTTGTACTTCTGAAACTAATATTGTATGTCAACTGTAATTGAAAAATAAATTTTAATCTTTTTCTAAATATTAGGAAAACACATAGCACAGAAAATGAGACAAGTTTTATAAAGATACACACATATTCATGGAACAGTGTTGAGACTTTTTCTGTTGCCTGAAGGCTGAAGAAAAGTATCCCACTTTTAAAGAAAATCATAAATAATCTGGGTACAAATACCCGCTTCAATGGTTAGGTGCTGCATATATGAGCCGAGGGGAGTTTGGAAGAGATGGAGTTGGAGTGGACCTCCCATTGAAGGTCATCTGTACAATTGGGAGGTCTCCTAGCCCAGAGCCAAGAACTCACACACGCAGCACCTAACCAGAGAAAGGCAGCATTTATAGGCCTGCAGGCAGCAACAATCAGAGAAACAGTAATAGCCCCCAACAAACAAAAATCCCTACACCAAATGGCTTTAAATAAGTAAAAGTTGCCCAGAACAGAAGCCGTCTTTGGTTATTATTAAAGGTAGCACTAGATAATTAAGACGCATGTCTCTTCGCAGTTCTTGGTACCTTTCAACTCGAATTTCCTCTTCTTATAAGGAAACCAGGCAGGTTGGATTCTGGCCCACCCTAATAGCCTATCTTCAAATACAATCACAGAGTGAGGTTCTGGGGGTTTCGACTTCAACATACGAATTTTAGGGGAACATAATTGAGCCCGTAACATCAGGCAAGTGAGAAAAAAAATCCATTTTAAATAGCTAAAAACCTAAAAGGTAGAGGTCATTTGTAATAAACATATAAGGTGGCCCCCAAGGGTTAAGTGCAGGATAAGTGCACTGGGAGGCTGACTTGACAGATGAAGGCGTGAGACGTGGGGCAGCCTCACCAGAATGAGGAAGGGGCTTGAGGAAGCTGAGGTTGGTTAACACCCATGACGCAAAGCATTCAGCTGGAAAAGGGAAGCACTTCCCTGGGTGAAACTTAGCTATAAAGGCAGCCTGACGATGTGGGGCACGGGGGTGGGGTGCTTAGCACAGCGTTCCTGCCGTCATTCTCAAACAGGCTCTTTCTGTCTACATAATGAATAAAGAGGTTGGGGTATTCAAGCGAAGTCCAAATAGTGGTGAGACAGATGAAAAAACGTATAAGAAAAATAGGTGTGAGATCATAAAAGTTAAATTCGACCAAACTGAGTGAGGGAGGGACAAAGAAAAGGAGAGGAAGCCCATGATGGAAGGCTCGGTCCTTTCGCTTCTCAGACCGGACCAGCCAGTGCACTGCTGCCCCCAGGCTGCTCTCCTCCCGCAGGTGGACCAGAGCTGTTTCCGGGATTAGAGAAAGGACCTGAGCAACTAGACTTCCTCGTTACCTTTAATAGTGCCATAACTAAACATCAAATTATTTCAAGGCCTACAATGATTTAAATAAAAGTAGTTCAATGGAACTGTCATTGCTTAGCTTCATTTGAAGAAAACTGGGCCATCTCTTCTACTTATACCATTAGAAAGTATTTGTGGGTCTTCTGAAAAAGGTACTCCTCAGCAGGTTTGGCTTCAGCTGGTGTGGCGCGCCCTAGTAAAAACGTTTTCCTCTTTTGAAGTGAGCTAAACTCATAAAGCCTGTTTTTTGACTTCACATTTTTAAAGAAAACTGCTTACTAAGACCCATATTCATTGACATACGTCAGAGAGACTGTCAGATGTAAAAAGGCACAGATGTTTGTTTTTTTTAAATATGTGAGAGCTATCTAGTTACTGAAATTTGGACGTGCCTACTATGCCACTCATCCAGCGCGCATCTGCTGGATCTTCCTTCACTGGGGCAAAACACCATACAGGTTAATCTTTTAAAGGGAAGTTCCTTGGGGGAACCTTCCGGCCCCCACCTTCCCTCCTCCATACAGCACTGTAACAGACCGTGACCATAAGCTGTAAGGGGGGAGGAAAGACCTAGGTGACTGGGATAAAAGCATTTAATGTTTGAGGAGATGGAAGTTACAACAAAATGGATATTCCTGTACATATTCAAAATTACACTTGAGTTTCCTGAAAAAGCGATGAAAAGGATTTATGAACCCTTCTTATTCTGGTGGAAAAACATTCCTCAGGTCAGGCTGGCTCCCCGCAGACAGTAGGTCTCCACAATGAAAAGGATGCTCTGCATGTTGAGAAGAATCTGGCAGGCAACAGGCAAGTTGTACTCAATTTATCCAAGTTCTCCATCTGCTTCGTTATAACCAAATGGGAAGATTTAAAAGCAATGCTAAAGTACAACTCAACACACTCAAGCATACATCCAACATCATGAAATTTATTTGGAATCAGAATTAAAAGAACGTTTGGCAACTGTGAAATGTATGTTTATTCTGATGCTTCTGATCAGTTGTACAATTTATTTAGGACAAATTACCAGATAAATTTCACATTATTTCTTCAGGATGGAGGTTTATCGATGACTTCAAATTTGGGTTCTAAGAAGAAGAAAAGAAGGTTCAAGCTTAGCCATACTGCAATAAAATGCATTCATTGACAAGGCTTCAATGTTTAACTCATCAGTCTTCCAATTTTGTTTTCTAGTGAATACCTACTGTTTCTAAACATCTATATGGAAATATAACGATTGCTAATGATTTATTCAGCACCTGCAATGAGCCTGACTATTGACTTTACATATATCACTTAAATACAACAACCGGATGAGGAAGATATTCTAATTCTCCCCAAGTCAGATGGGAAACGCACCAGTTAATTAAGATCACACACTTCCTAAGTGATACTGTCAAGGTTCAAGATGAGGGAGTTTGATTTCACCATTTAACCTCTGTATTATGTGGTCTCCTACACCAATGGCCAATGTTTATCCCAGAGCTTCCACGCACACGTCACTGTACCTATAAATTCACATGTCACTGTCCTTTAATCCTCTTAACAATCCAAGTTAAGTATAAAAAAAGTATAAACATTTTCCACTTAAAATGATCTCCCACAAGAATGAATCCTTCATTAAAGGGACTTACCTTCAAATTTGAAGTCAGGAAACGCATTCATGTCAGCTTTACCAAACATCTGCTTAAGCTTAAACAGCTCTCTCTCCAAATCCTGCTGATATTCTGGGCCAGTATCCACAGGTCCTCCAGATGACCTGTGAGTAAGTGAGCAAGTAAAAACTTTTTTTATGTACTAGTTTATGAAACCAAAATTACTTTCACCCATCAAGCTTCTTTTAAAGAAATTCATGCAGGGGAATATAAAGTTTTCCAGAAGAAAACAAGTATTTCCACTTGAATTTCAATTCCAAACTATTTTAGTATGACAAGGCTTCACATAAACGAAACAACTTCAAACAAACCTCTAACAGTCAAGGATTGTTAGCATCAAGGGTTCGTATCAAGTCAGCATCTCTTAGGGTCTAAGCTGCAATGAGGAGTAACGTCCAAGGCCATGGGCTCTGGAGTCCATGACTACTTCTGTCTGAATGTCAGCTCTACTAACTGCATAAATCGGAGTGAGGCAGGTGCACTCTGAACTTCAGATTCCACATCTAAAACTCAAGGTCCTCCCTAATGGTGGTGCTCAGAGCATTGTAAAGATAATGCACATGTACCACCTGGCGCAGTGACTGGCACAATGTGAGCACTTAGTGCTATTACTATTATCTTACTGAAATCAGCCACCACCAAATGGCTTTAAAAGATCACCGTAACTTTAAGTTTCTATAATAGGGGCCTAACAAAGAAATAAATTATTTCCTACCCCTCAGAGGTATTGCCATTTAGAAGAAAAAAGTAACACACTTATAAACATTTCTGCTGTAAAGGAGTCATGTGATGAACTTCAAAGACATAGTTTGACTAAAAGCTACTCAAGTTGAAAGCACTATTGCTGAGTTAATCAGAAAAAAGTTTCACTTTAAAAAAGTGGCATTTGTGACAAATCACGCATTTGCGTCAGATTTTAATTTGAGATATTCTAAGCCCGAAAAGCAAAGATGTGGAGGTGGGAAAGCACTGGCTGTGTGGGGGGAATACTAAGCAGTGTGGTGGCCAAACCAGCGGGCCCCGGATCATGGGAGGCCCAAAATGTTCAGCCTGGGAGTTTCTATTTCATTTGCCAAGCAATAAAATGACAACATTAGAGTTGTGCTCTGGGAAAATAAATATTAGCACCATGGGCCAGAAGTGGGGCCCATTAGCTCTACTTAATTCTTTGCACAAATTCTTCTGTGTTTGTCATAGTGTTACTGCCTGCCTATCAATGCACAATATCAAAAAATTTACACGTGAAAATTCTGTCAAGGGTAATAATATTTTTGCATGTCTATGAAAAGGCAAAGGGTCTTACTTATGTGACAGAATTTCCGCAGAAAAGTATAGAGAACTCTGATTTAAGAACTCATTAATGATATTTCTTGTCACGGACCCAACTTCCTTTAATTCTGGATTGCCACATGCAATGAATGCTTCCGTGATCACAGAAATGCTCTGTATCTGTGCCGTCTAACACGGTAGTCACCAGCCGTTATCTGGCTAGACAGCACTAGAAATGTGGCTAAGGTGACTGAGAAACTGAATTTTTATTTAAACTTAATTGTAAGTAATTAGAATTTGAATAGTCACATGTGAAAAACAGCTATTGAAATAAACAGTGCAGTTCCTCCTAGAGCCTTCAACAGGTACTTTGATGATTGTCTTCGAGCTCTGGGATCCACAAGCTTTACCAACTGCTGTGAGAAGACCCAGCCAGTCTCATCAATACACTGGTTACTAAAAGAAGAGATGACGGCTGTTACAACTTTACTATGTACTCTTATGATAAAAAGGGGTCAGAAATCATCTGCCTCCTCAGCTGACTGTAAGTCTCCCAGCCCACCTTGTTTATTATAGATCCCCAGGCTCTAGCATGGTGACTGGGACAAAGCAGACACTCAAGGGAGACTTGCTTATTTCACTTAAAAAATACCAGGCATGGTAATTTACTGAGTCACTTAACCTCTATAACATCCTATGAAACAAGCGCTGTTACCATCATTGCCATTTTATGTAAGAGGAATCTGAGGTGCGGAGGTTAAATAACCTGCCCAAGGTCATAGAACTAGTAAGTGGCGGAGTTGGGTTCCCGCCTAGCCTCCATGCTCAGAACACCTCTCCAAGCTGTGTGCACAAATGAATGCAGCCGACTCCTCTGATTCTGGGTATACATAGCTAGTGACTGACTTCTTATAGGACAGGCTTTTAAAGACAGTTAAAGTGCAAACAGCATCAGTACCTCCGGACAGAAGATACTCACATTCCTCAATCAATCCTGCACACCTGCTTATTGAATAGTATGATTGTAGGCAAATTCTAACCTTTTAGCCTGTTTCCTCATATATAAAATGGAGATAACATCAATAAGGTTGTTGTGAGTTCCACAACTATGTCTTCATTTTAATCCCTTCACTCTCTCCCTCCTTAGTTTTGGTAATGACAAAACCTTGCTCGTCGCCCATTCTCAAAAGTCTGTGTCTTGACTGTCACTTTTATATTCCCACTGCTATAAAGATAAGATTCTCATCAACCAATGCTTGGATTATTGTATTTTCCTAACATGTTTGTTTTCCTTCTTTTCTCATCCCAATTTCCCCAATACACTGATTAAAATAATCTTCCAAATACATTGTAATTTTGTTCCATCCCACCATTCTACTTAAAAACTTTTAATTTATCATAAATGCCTTCCATATATCTTATTTGTCAAGTCTATAATCAAGGCCTTCCATAATCCCTCATTCTAACTGCATTCTAGCCTTACTGCTCCCTAACTCTTCAGACGCTCTACAGTCCTGGGAAACAGCACTACACAATTTCCCAAATATGCTCTCTAGTTTTCATGCCTTAGCTTACACCATTCTTTTCTCCTAAATGATATCCTCCTCTGACACCCATTTATCTGTCCAACCTTCACACCAATTGTTTATAACCTGGGGTAGACCCCTGGGTGTGTCTAGATTTCCTTCTATGGATTTGAGAACCCTTTCAAGCTGTAAGTAAAATCGTGAGTAAATACTTCATTTTTTTTTTTTCAACTAGAACAATCATTCACAGCTGTTCATGACATTCTCAACAGGGATGAATGCCCTCAAACGCTGCCTTCAAATCCAAGATAAAACATTCACTCTTCCAAGACACCCTCTAAAATGCCTCCAGCTAGAAAGGAGGATTCCTTCCTATGAACTACCTAAACATTCAAAGTGCCAATATCTCAGCATCTAACCCATTTTTACTTATAGTGTATTTACTTGCTTACAAGCATTCTACCCCTATCAAATATAAGAATATTATGGAAATGTAGTGTGGCTTCTTTTTTTGTAGCCCAGTGCTTTCAACATGGTAGACAACTAAATAATTAAAAACAAAACAAACACACAAATTTAACTATGAACTGATGTATACAACTTTTCCAAAGATTTAGGGGCTGAACTTGATGATAGCTAAGGTCATCCTTCATCTCCAAAGCTGTGTGGTTCTGTAATCATGTTTTTCCTGCACTTGCTTTATGCCATTTCAGAGTCTTCTGTCTTTTGATATTCCCAGAAATATATAAGTATGGAAAAGGCATTAAAGGAAGGACGCTATGTTTAACATTTCCCCTAAATCATGATGTCATGGAGAGGGCACTAAACCGAGTCAGAATATGCTGATCATATGTTTTTCCCCCAATTAGTTTAATGACTTAAGGCTAATCAATGTCTAAAGGATTTAGTTTTTTTCAAATAACAGTAGCCCCCGTTATCTGTGGTGGTTATGTTCTGAGACCCCCGTGGATGCCTGAAACCATGCATAGCACCGAACCCTGTATACACTATGTTTTTTCCTCTACATACATATCTGTGATAAAGTTTAATTTATAAATTAGGCACAGTAAGAGATTAACAATAATAAAATAGAACAATTACAATAATATACTGTAATAAAAGTAATCTGGGGCCGGCTGAGCGGCTCAGTTGGTTAAGAGCGCACTCAAGAGAGCAAGCTCTCTGCATTGTACACCTGAAGCTGATGTTGTATAATACTGTATGTCAACTATAAGTGAATATATATATATATGTATGTGTGTGTGTGTGTGTGTGT